TTTTTTTACATATTAAGGCAAAGTAAATTTGTTTTTTCAATATTTTGTTTGCTATTTAATTACGATTTAAATGTAAAAATAAAGTAAAAATTCATAAATTATTTTCAAATTATTAATTCTCACAAAAATAGAAAAAATTTTAAATTTTAAATTGTTGATTAGTAAAAAGATTTTTGGTACTTGTTTATTTATTACACATACATACAGGATTTCTCAGAATGCTTGGTCCAAAATTTGTAGCGATTGTACAGGATAATTCACATAACATCCGAACCCCCTTATCTTTTTTACTTTTCTATTTAGGACAAAACGATAAAAAACAAAGTTTTAGTAAATATTCTTGTGATATTAAGGAATTACATGGAAAAACAGTTGGATATTGCGTTTCAGAGAGATATAAAACAAAATGCTTGTTTTTTTTTTAATAGAACACCCTGTATATTTATCGTTTTTTAAATGCCTCTACTTTTTCTGATTACAGCAAAATACCGGATATAAAACACAAATAATTAAAATTAAAATAGATAAAAAAAATAAAAATAAATCTAATAATATCAAGTGCTATCTAGGTATAATTGAAACTAACACAACGATGGTATAACCCCTTTTTCTTTTTAGTTTTGAAGATAAATTATTGCAATTTGGGACATCGTATTAAACTTCACTTTTTGACATTTTAACGATTTTTCAGTCACTTCCGGTTTCGGCGGAAATGACAGTAACTTACAAAATTCTTCATAATTTTCTGAATCCAATGATCTGAATAAGTGAAATTTGAGACATATTTTTTTTTTATTTTAATTTTTTGTTTTCCATTTAGGTTTAGGTGTGTGTTTCAGTTTACTCTAATCGACCCATACAATGCTACAAAAATCAAAAACCCGTTAAAAATACTAAACGATGTAATTTATTAGCAAATAAAGTTCATCGAAGAGTTTTTTGGGACGTACATATATTTTTCAAAAGAAAATATCTTTTGGTGGCACACCCTACCTAAAAATTATAGTAGTAAATTAACGCACGTTAAAGTTCGTCCTTTATAAATAATCGTGATTATCTCCAAAACAGTTGAAGATAAGTATAGGAAACCTCTATATCAGTCGACGCAGAATTTAATTCTACATGTTCCTGACTGATAAAATTGTTACTGTTTCATTTGAATAAAATTAGTTTTCAATCTTTGAAAATTACCGTGTTGGCCGCAAAATTTTGAGGACCTTGTGCATAGCTAGGTCAAATGTGACACATTTTCGGTGAATACATAATAAATACTACTAATAATGGAAGTATGTCCAATTATACAAATGGTAGAGATATTTAATATTATTCGCGACGTTTCATCTAGCATTTTTTTTTAAATCTAAATATCTCGAAAACGAAAACCATAAATTTTCAAGGCATGGACGTGGTGACAAAAATTACTCAAAATAACTCATAGAATCGACGAATAATATAAAAAAATGGGGTATTCCATTTAAAACAATGGAGATGACGTCACTTCCGGTGAAACCGGAAGTATCCCACTCTTGAAAGTATTTCAAGACTAAATTGAACACATATAGCTGTCAAAATTTAATGAACGGGTTACATGAAAAACCCTAAAAATTAAAATTAAAATTTTAAAAAATTTTTCTTACTTTTCAATAACAAAATATTATGCAATGTGTCTAAGCAAACATATGACATATTCTTATGTATATATTTCTGTAACCAGAAAAAGTAGAGGAATTTAATTTTGTTTATATCTTTAACACGCAACATTCAATTGTTTTTTTATATAACTCCATGATATCATATGCGTTCATAATTGTTTTTTATGTATTTATGAAGCGGCTGCCCAATTTATTTTGCACCCGGCCCTGTTATTGCTATACTGAAATTAATGAATTTAAAATAAATATCTTGCTTAAATTACACACATATTGATTTAACTAATATTATCTTATTTAAATAATTTCTCAAACCCTAGATAAAAACTCAAACCTCAAACCGCATTAACTGAAGTTTTTTTGTCGTATCTGCCGGTAGCTGGTATTTTACTAATTTCCATGTCACGTGATATGAATTTATTGCGTTTGTTCTATCTACCCTGTCATTGGATCTCAAGAAAACTGTATTTCCAAATATCTGTGTAATGGATCATTTAACTATTGAACATAAGATGGCGCAGTATCGAAAGTGTAAAATTGAACGTGAACGATTAAATATCAAGTTTACATACATATGGCTCCTCCTTGTAACGAATTTGAGAACTAAAATTTGATCAACTATTCGGCCATAAGAAATATAATACTATATTTACTTATACAATGGTTATATTATCATAGTTCCAATATCTATAGAAAAAACTTGTGAACACGTATTTTTAATAATTAAACTATGTAATTTATTTGTAACCGCCAGTATAACAAAACTATAATTATATATAAAAAATACATTTATCAAAAAAATATTGCTGTCGTATTAATGAAGGTTTTAATTGACTTCCACTATTATTAAATATATTTGTGAGGGGAGATGTGTGAAATAATTTACTATGCACAAGAAGATCCTATTATACATATAGCATAAATAATAAAAAACGTCACTAGAAAACATATTTTGGATTTTCGAGTACTTTGATTTTGATTATATTATGCCTTTCCTGAATTTATCTATTTTAAAAACTTTGGTAAAAATTCTTTGGGTACTACTCATCCCCATGAATGTTACATACTGTAATATAATAGGGGATAGCTATTTAATATATTTAATATTACAGTTGTATAGAATAGTTCTACTGAATCTAAATTCCTATCATGTCGCAACAAATTTTGCACCGATTATCAGGAAGAAGTGCCCTGGTAACGGGATCCACCTATGGCATAGGCTATGCAATAGCCAAAAGGCTAGCAGAGGAAGGCGCCAAGGTAATCATCAGCAGCAGAAAAAAAGAAAACGTAGATGAGGCCACTAAAAACCTTCGCGATCAAGGACTTGATGTCAGTGGACTTGTGTGCCACGTCAGCAGTCCAGATGATCGGAAGAGACTGTTGAAAGAGGCAGAGAAAAACAACGGACTGGATATTTTGGTGTGTTCCGCTGGCGTCAATCCAGCAGTTGGACCATTATTTAGCTGCTCAGAGTCCGCATGGGACAAAATATTCGACGTAAACCTGAAGGCATCATATCAGCTGACGAAGGAAGCATTACCTCTTTTGAAACAGAGCAAGGCAGGTAGAGTGATCTACAACTCGTCCGTTTCTGCAATCCATGTATTTAAAGATCTGGGTCCATATGCGACGAGCAAGGCAGCGTTGTGCGCTCTTACGAGGTACGCAGCTTATTCTCTGGGTCCAGATAATATTACCGTAAACAGTGTTGTACCTGGTTGCATCAAGACGCGGTTCTCCGAGGTCTTGACTCCGAATGAGGAAGAAACGAAGAAGTTGATATCAATGATCTACTTGAAAAGGTAAGCTCAACTGTTCTACCTGTAAAAGTATGTAAGCCACAGGTTGACATAGGCTTGTCTCTTAAGATAGATGATTCTAAAAAAACTCTAATTTATTTTTTAGGCTTGGAGAAACTAAAGATGTTAGTGGTGTCGTAGCCTTCCTAGCTTCAGATGATGCAGCCTATATAACAGGCGAAAACATCGTTGTCTGTGGTGGTATATAAGATATAAACAGAAGGTTCAAATTTAAAAAACGTATGTAATCGAAAACATTAATTTTGTGAATTGACTAGTAGCACGCTTTGAAAAATTATTATTTAATAAAATATTACATTGTCGCCTTAAAAACTATTTTTAGAATTTTAACAGATTCCATTACTCATTTTCCAAATAGTCAAGTGTATATAGGCAACTAATAATACAATTCCCTAAATTGTTGGTGGAGTAAGTCGCTTCATGGAAATATATTTTAATATTCTGTGAAATATAATACATTATGGATTAAATATTTATTACTTTTGTTGTTAATTAGTTTATTATAACTGATTACACATTACATACATCTTCATAACTTTAATAAAGCGTAACCTAATCTAGGAAAAGTTCGTCATATGGAATTTGGGAAAAAATTTTGGTGGATATATCATTTTGAAAAGCTAACAAAGTTTCCAAAAAAGGCGTCTTCAAGTCTTCATTCACCTGCATCCAGTTTTCATTTAAAATTCTGTTCATTTCTGTGCCTATAGAAAAAAAATATATTAAGAGTAACTTATATTTAATATCAAGAATTCAAGGTCAGTAACGAGAAGGTAAGCCCCAATCGTTTTGTCACTGTAAACGATAAAAATAATGAATTGTTAAATAAATATTCCAGCTTAAATTCATCGCCAGTTTCATGCAGTAACTACCCATATTCCTGATACTTACTCCAGACCTTATCTCCGTTAAATAAATTTTTGAAGTCATAAGTGATTTTGTCAGATGTGTAGTCATATTTGCTGTCAATAATTTTCAAGTATCGGTTTCTATTGCGCGTTGTAAATTCCCATTCGGCCTCATACTGGTAAACGCCATTATCTAAAAATGTACGAAATTGTTTTGGTATTGATTTTGATTCGATTTTAAGGGATGTACTCGTAAAATTGTCTTACACAATGTAATGTTAGCAGGCCCATGTCCAGTTAGGGGTAGTATTATACGACCCTTCATTTCGTACTGAGCCAAGATAGTGGATCTGTCTATAGCGGTAATGGTGCGAACTTTCCGTTTATCGAAATCGACCCTAGAAAAGAAAATGACAGGTATATTATTGTCACGTATTTTACATATTTACTGGAAACAAAAGTAGAAAATTTTTTAGAAATTTGTAACAAAGAATAGAATAATGTATTTTATATATTTTTATCGATAAAAAAAGAATTGATTTCATATAAGGAGTGATTCTCTAAATCCAGTTCATTATTTAAACAGTGATTTATTTTATATCGAATAGCGTTAATGAACCAGGGGTCTAGAGCCACTGGTTTTTGTGGTACAGGATGTAAGGAATTATATGTCACATTTGTTCAAATATATCTGAAGATGTTTTGGGTAAATTGATGAAAAATTTATGGTAATAACATACAAATCGGTTAACCAATAGCGAAATACTGTTGCATTTTGAAATTGGATAAGTGATCTTTGATTGTTGTTGAGGTATTTTTCGAATTATATTTGTTTAAAGTGGCCATATCCCTGGCCGAGAAATGGTGAAATTTCTGGCATTTTTAGGTCCGAAATCTCGAAAAGTAAAACGTGTAGAACAAAAGTAAGCACAAAAATAAAATCCTTGATGTTCTGTTTATTCATTGTTACTATTTTTTACTCAAATAAAATAATAACTTAAAAAAAGCGTTTGTAAAACATGCGTTTGCTGTTATCCTAAACCCACATTTTAAGAATTATTTTTTAAAAATGTTTTGTTCGAATTCACATACAATTTTCAATTTAAAACATGTTAAAAATTTTAAATGAAAAAATATTGGCTCGGAAATCTCTAATTTTTCGAATGAAAATTTAAGATTATTTTCCTTCAGAAATGCCATAAGATATAAAATACATTTTTGGAATATCCAAAATATGTAATTAACAATTTTTTTTTGAATTTAAAAAATCAGTCACTTTGGACACAATTAATGCTTTTTCTTCTAAAAAAAGTACTCTGTAAATTCACAATCAAAGAACCAATATTTTAGATAAGTTGAAAATACTTACGTCACATTTAAAATCTTCAGTTTGTCCAGTCCGTATACCTCTACATTCCTCAATTTAAGGTTTAAGTTACTTGTGGTTAATTCAACAAATTCAATTTTTACTGGGTTTAGACTTGGGATTTTCAGTTGTCTGTCACCTAAAAACAGAAAATATACTACGTGATAACTAAACGTTTAATACTCCAGTATTCTTAATTTTTCCTTACTAACCATTTAGAAGAAAAGGAATTGCGTATTGACCACTTTTTATTGCACATTCATTGAAGTTGTTACTTCTAGAGCAAGGCATTAGATATTTTGCTGAAAAAAATACACTGATTTTAAATGTACATAAATAAAAACATCCCGTAAAGTAAAATTATCCGCACTTACGCCTCGATACGGCATTTATCATAAAGGTAAGACCCAAAAATATAAATAATTGTGTCAACATTTTCTTCAGTATACAATTTGTTTCTAAATAAAACCGAAAACTTTCTATTTTCTGCTTATATATGCAGCTTAAGTTAAAATATAAGACTTGCTCGTAAGGTTATAGTCACTCTAAAGATCATTACAGTTAATTACATTATTTGACTAGACAGGTACAGATTGTCATCATAAACCAATTTTTATTCCATTTTGGACGATTATTAACTTTAGATATTTCATAGAATATTTAAAGTAGGCTTAAACAGAAATAAATCTTTAAATTACATTACTCGCTTTTGATCTATTATTTAAAATTTTCTTTCATTCGAATGAAAATTATCTTCCTATTGAAAAAAGGTTATAGTCTCAATTTTTCTAAAAATTCCTGAACGTTGGTTTAAACAATTAAAATTTTATGTCCCTAATTTAGATTATAAATGGTGACACGACCTTTCTGACTACCTCATTTTCTCTTCTACCTGATAAAAACATATAATTATAATACACCAGCAGACCAAAGTCGAATAATAAAGAGTAAATATACCTATTATTAAATTATATTTATAGAACATTGATTCATTGAGCATCTCTTCTTACCTTACGGATGTTGTTGATAACAACATAATCTAAAATATTCCTTTAATTAAACAAACGTAAATATTATAATTGACGCTACAATTTCTTCAATTTTTAATTTCGACGTATAGACTGATGCATTTCAGTCACTTAACATATGAAAAACAGACGCTTAAGTAGCAATAAAAATGTCTCCAGTATATTTAAGAGAAGTAAACAAGGGAATATTCCATAAGAAAACAATAATTATGGGAAAATTTTTAATTTCGTTTCTATTTTCTACTTTTTTAGTAAGAGAGCATTAAAGAAAGTTTGAAATTATTGTAAATTATTGATTCTGGAATAAGGAATTATAAAATAACAATCCGGCATGTTGTCACTTCGTGGGATTCATCATTCTTGGAATTATTGTTTGTATTTTTATATATGCTTAAATGAAGTCATTGAGAAAACAAATATTCTCTATGAATCACGGCAAACTTATAAACTTGACAAATTAATATTGTCTATTCGTGAATGTCATATTTTCAATTGTATGCAAATATACCTGCCTATTGTATATTATAAATACGCAATCATAAACGTAAACAAATATCCCTAGTTTGGAACACATCTCCCTGATGTGACGCATATAAAATCGCTCATCGTATAAGCATGAATCTAAAATGTATACGTTTTTCTGAAAATAGTTCTGCAAAATTTCCGTACAAGATCACATTTTATATGCAAGAGGTCACAATATTTTATTTTGAAAAGGAAACTGTTATTTAGTTAGGTATTTCGTAAATAGTATTTAAGTAGGTACACGTTTCAATATAAGGAGAATTATTTATCTTAATAATTCTTCTGGAAAACGATATTAGAACGAGAAAAATATTTGCACCAAGTTGTTTGTACGCAAGCAGAATATATATTTTATTTCTCCGCACACATTGCCTATTCAGTAGAAGCTCAAATTGCATTATTCATAATATTGACTACTAATGCATGTATATATAAATGCCCTGAAGATTTTTTTACTCGAGTCGGATGATTACAATTAATAAATGATGTTCATAATGGGTGGATTAGTTGATATAGTTTCTCTGTTATTACTATGTGTTTTTGGTGTTCACTGTATAAAATTACGTAAGTTTTGAGTATTAAAGATTATTCAAATATTTTGTTGACAGTAGAAAGCATGCTGATTTTCAAGAATAGAAGTCAATATGTTTTTTAACAAATGAAGAAAAAAAGTTATTCAAATAATTATTATCGTTTCCTCAGCACCTTATTTAAAGCCATGTTCCCTAAGTGATCCGAACTTAAATGAATGTTGCGTAAAACATGGAAAAGAAGCTTTGCCGTTCCTTGTAAAAGGCGATAGAAAATACAACATCCCAAATTTATCACCATTGTTTCTGCCAAGTCTTTACATGAACGTTGGTAAAGATCTACACATCACTATGACGGACATATACGCTTATGGACTGGAAAGAACCGACATAGAACAAATAAGGTACGGTATATGTGCTTACATACAGTGTGTTTTTAAACCATCCAGTAAATTTTTATTATTGCGCGATTTTAACGTGGCTTTTTTCAAGATATAGACTGATTATAGAGCGTGATGAAGTGTGCTTTGTGAACGAAAATCAGTATGATCACACACAATTCAAGGCTACGTCCATTTTTAGGAGTAACATTTTTATTCGTTATTTCATACCAGGGATTTTTTGAGAAAAAATATATTTACTCCACTGGATTCACGACCCCCTAAAACGGGCCAATGCCAAATTTTATCAAACATTTTTAAATAATAACGATTTTATGGTCAAATATAAAATTCATACTTTTTTCATTAGTTTATTGTTGATATCAAGTTATCCATGAAGCAAAACAAAAAATGAGGTCGTTAGCTAATTGTTAAAACTGACAAGTTATTAGTGTGTAGTAAAGTTTATCTAGTGTTAATAACCACGGAAAATATACCATTATGGGACGAAATAGAAATGGTACGACTTGTTTATAATTACTAAATACAAGTATTATCTTATAAAATTTTGTGCAGCTATAACATGTTCTTGAAATATTAAAAAAATATTTTTTTTCCAGAAAATTTAAGGCTGAAGTTTACTACTTTTTTTTGTTTATTTTTATCTGGGGAATATTTCCTATTGTATACATTTTAATACATGTGTTTCTAGGTTTGACGCTAAAAACATGAAAGCTTCCCTTAAAACACGAATAGACAATTTGCAGCTTATTGGAAAATATGAAATGGTTGGCAAAATCTTGTTTTTACCAGTTCAAGGAAAAGGCGATTTCAATATAACTGCAAGTAAATAAATAGATCAATTCAGTATTTATATGTGTATTAAGAAAGAAATTATTTTTAGTTGACGGAGAATATCAGTATGAATTCCAATATACCTTAAGAAGAAAGGGAAACCAAAGCTATGCGGTTGTAAAAGACAACGACAAATTGAACTTCGAACTAAAAGATGCCATCGTCAAGTTAGACAATCTTTTCAATGGAGATGACACTTTAGGTAAGCGAAAGATTATTATAACGAGCGTTCAAATAAAAACGTGGTCAAGTTGGTTCTGAAAATTTGGACGTAGGGCGTAGCGTATAGCAAATGAACNATATTTCTTTACTCTGTACTTTTGTCCTATAAAAGTTAAAAAATAATACTTATTTCTTCTTATCTTCAGTATTATTTTTACTGGCAGCGAGATTTTTTACTATTTTTGAGATATATTTTGAAGAAAATACTTTTTTAATTCGTTGACTAATAAAATTTTTATATACAGGGTGTCATCTAGCGAATGTTACGTACTTCAATGGTATAATTTAGAATCCAAATGGTGTCAATGTGACCAAACTTGCTTGAACGATAAATGTGACAAAAAAAGCTACAGGGTGTTAGTTTCCTTTTTTATTTCTTGTTTTCTCCTTAACTCAGAACCCAGTTAACCGATTTGAGCAAAATTTGCTGTTGCTTAGTTTCTCTTAATGAAGTATGCAGTGATTATGTTCCTATTAGGTGAAATAGTACAAGACATTCATTTTACTACAACCCTTTATGAATATTCTTCTGTAACTTCTTTGTACGTATAAATTTTTACACGGAACTATCAGAAATACCTATAGGTAGAGAATTTTATTCTACACAAAGTCGAAATTATGCTCGGTTATGAAGATATCACAGGAAATATTTATTAACACATACTCCACATTTTTTGGAAATATCTAATAAATTGACACCATTTGGGTTGAAGACTATACCCTTGAACTATGTAGCATTCATTAGGGGACACCCTGGATTATCTGTAATTATTTATTTGTGACCTTTACTGAATTTGATGTTTCTGCCAAAACATTCTGCTTCACCGGCTGGTGATTGTGTGTAATTTTTCAGGAGATTTATCCAATCAGCGGCCGTATTATCTCAAGCGTTTGTCATTGTTTATTGTAAACGACTCTTTAATATTGGCGACGGCATTTGTAATAATTGTGAGAGAAAATATTTAAACCGTATTTTAAAAATAGTTGTCGAAAAATAAAAATATTACTTTGACCGAGGCATACTTCTCAACAATAATTCTCATTGTTGTAATATTATACATATAAGGGTGAGGAAAAATAAGTACGTATACAGGGTGCCCCTTAAAAGCATGGACAACGCTTGACCACAAGTTCCTTGGGTGAAAATAAGACTATTTAGCCTAACTTAGTTATACAGAAAAGTGCACGCTTACTGAGATGTAGCCTTCTAAATATAGAACAAATAAGTAATTTAGTTTTTTCAAATAATTTAGAAACTGTTTTTCTTAGAAACAAATTTGGGCCACGTATTTTTTTATATAAGGGCAATGTAAAAATAGAATTTGGTGAGAATACTTATACAGGACATATCTTTCTAGTGCCTGTGCGCCACTGGCTATCCTGTAACTTTTTTGTGTGTACGCCAGTGATGCCAGAATTTATATTTTTAAAAATAAGCACTATTTTAGAACATTTTTTTTCTCTTCCAAAATTTTTATATGGTTTATGGATTTCGAGTAAAATTGGCATTTTTTACACATTAAATAATATAAAATCAGTTTAATTAGATCAGTCTAGTACGAGGAGCCACATAACAAAAGAACAAATTCATAACAATGTACCAACCAAAATGGTTCAATGTCAAGCTAGGTGTCATTTAATTTTAGCTTACTTTGTTTTGTAATACCTTCTTTATTATGGCTGCAATTTATACTTTTGCTGAACAAACTGATATGTTACTAGCTTTGGGTTATTGTGAAGGAAATTGTTGTGCTAGTGTACGAACATAAGCAGAAAGATTTCGAAATCGAAATATTCCAAATCACAAAACATTTGCTAATGTGGAGAGACGCCTTCGGGAAACGTTTTTTAGCTGTAACACTAAATCGTGGACAACGTACGGCTAGAACTATTCACCTGGAGGAACCAATTTTGGGAAGGGTCGAAAAAATTCCACAAGTAAGTACAAAACGTTTAACAGCAAAGGTTGGCTTTCAAAAAGTTCCGTCAATGGAGTGTTAAAAGACTAATTATTACATCAATTCCACCTTCACTCAATTCAGGAACTTTTACCCACCAATAGGTCCTCCGTCACGTCTTGCTTTCAGTCAAAGTATTCAGGAACTCAGAAATAGAGATGATAATTCCACAAGAAAATCCTGTTTACACACGAAACCGCTTTTAATAGAAGGGATATTTTTAATTCGCATAATGAACATGTTTATTGTGATGAAAATCCACATGGAATCAATAAAAGGCGGTTCCAACATGAATTTAAGATTAATGTTTGTATTGTTGGTAGTATTTTAATTGGTCCTGTTACATTACCTGCTACATTGAACGCAGAAAATTTTTAGAATTTCTCCAAACCCGATTACCCTATCTGCCTGAAGCAAGGGTCGGCAACTGGCGGACCGCGGTCCAGGTCCGGACCGCGAAAGGTAAAATATTGGACTGCCAAAAATTTTTGAAAGTACAAATTACTCAAATAATTAAAATTAAATTAACATTTAAAAAATGTTTTTTTACGTTTGAGTGCCAACCTTATCATTTTTTCTAGTATTTTACAATTGTGTGAGTGTTTTGAGTTCTTAATGGTTAGTAAGCAGATTAAATTTGAGTTCAAATGAAAATTTGTAAGAAATATGAATTTTTTTCTGGACCTCGTTAAAAATTTTTAAAAGTATCCGGACTCCGCCTAAAATTAGTTGCCGACCCCTGGCCTGAAGAGTTACCTATAACACTACGAATGAATACGATTGTCATGTATGATGGGGCCCTCCCCATTTTGCCTTATCGATAAGACAATACTTAGATGAGCACTGTCCTAACAGATTGATAGGTAGAGGAAATAATGCCCCTTTGAAATGGCCACCTCGATCCCCGGACCTAAACCCATGTAATTATTTCCTTTGGGGAGCGTTGAGGATCGCAGTTTATAGATTTTCAGTAAATACAGAAAACGATTTCTTGGAAGCAATACAAAATGAAATTAATGTTATGAGAAGTAATGCACAATTATTGGATAAAATTCATTTTAATTTAATAATAATAAGTAATTAATACCTGCGTTCAAGAACGAGGAAGTCACTTTGAGGATTTACTGTAATATTATTTTAATGTGATTACAAATATCAATTTAGGTTTATTTATAATGTTAATATATTAGCCGCCTTAAAAAGAGCACAGTTTTGCTTGAAAGAGGATTTCACTTATATGCTTCAAATTAATAATGTAAAAGAAGTCAAAAGTCGAAGTAAGTAAAAATAAAACGTAAAAGTACGTTTTGACTTTAATATTGTTTATATTATTAGAGGCAGTTTGTTGACAACTTTGCAAGAAATATAACAAATTTTAAATATGGTATACCGCTAACAACTGGGGGGGTCCGGAAAAACAAAAAAATACCAAAATAAATTACCAAAATAAATTTAGTAGCTATACAGGGTGGTCCCAAGGTAATGGGCCAAAATTCATGGGTAGATACCCGAAGCAAAAATATTGCGATTTAGCCGAACTTACCTAAGTCCAAAAGTTGATAGTTAAAGAGATACAGGGTGTTAAATGTAAAATGTTATTTTAGTTTATTTCCATTTATTTCTTAATAAATGCAAATATCTACACAAAATTTTGGGGTTTGGGGTTCTTTGGATAGAGGAATTGAAATTTGTTCACATTTTGGTTATAATTCATAGAGGGCGCCAGCTGCCGTAGATTGAATGTGTTGGAAACGACATAACTTTTTTGTACTTTAAGGTATCTCATCTTTGGTATCAAATTCATATTTTCCAACTTTTTTTACAAAAAAAAGGTAGACTTTATGAAAGTAGCTGTCTCGCACCGTTTCCGAGATATTTGGCTTTGAAACTTCCAATGAAATAATTAAAATAATTTAGAAATGTCAAAAACGAGGGTTTATTTAGAATTAAAAATTGTAATGAACAGTAAAATAGTAAACATTAGTATAGAATATGCCTTTTTGACAATAATTGCTCAAAATGTCCACCTCTAACTTCAATACATTTATCAACACGTTTATTAAAAGATTGTCTTATTTTACAGTATAAATCCTTAATGCGAAATGACTTTGCAGCATTTAAAACCTGCTACTAAAGTTCTTCTCAAGTGTTTAATAGTTTCTCCATATACAACTGATTTCATGTAACTCCAAAAACGAAAACCTCGGCATTCTATCTCACATTTATATATACGAGTATACAATTAATTTGTAAGCTAAGATGTAATTTTAATTAGATACGAATAATACTTAATAGAAATTAGCATACAAATGACAGCAATAAGACAAGTGGTCTAAGATGTCAATTATTTGATTGACGCTAAATTAATAGGCCTGTAGGTACTTAATTGTAATTTAATGCAACAGCATTGGAAGTTTCAAAGCCAAATATCTCGAAAACGGTGCGAGACAGCTACTTTCATAAAGTCTACCTTTTTTGTGTGAAAAAAGTTGAAAAATAAGAATTTGTTACCAAAGATGAGATACCTTAAAGTAAAGTACAAAAAAGTTATGTCGTTTTTAACACATTCAATCGACTGCAGTTAGCGCGCTCTATGAACTTTAACCAAAATGTGAACAGGTTTCAATTGCTCTACTCAAAGAACTCCAATCCCCAAAATTTTGTGAGGATATTTGCATTTGATAAGGAATAAATTAAAGAAAACTGAAATAATATTTTACATTTAACAATTATCAGTTATATCATTGTATAAGTAAATATAGTAATATAATCCCCATGTAAATTTTGTTAATCAGTAGAATGATACGAAAGATAGTGTGGACATCTATCGGCTGTCTCCTTATTAATATTTCTGAAATTTGTGCTAAATAACTAACTGTAGGTCTAGGCGGTCTCTACTATACTGTTATTATACAAGGGGTATAGTAATTCGTTGATGGCTAGATACCTAGATGGCTCTAGGTAAGACTGGAATAAAAAAAAATCGCCACTATATAATGCATAAAAAACTGGTGCTGAATCGGTGTTCTGTTTACTGTATACATAGGTATTTAAAATAAATTAATAATGGCAGGAAATATATGTCAATATTATAAATGTGGGAAATTTAAAGCAAAATTTCCCAATGTAATATTACATCGATTTCCATCGGAATGATGTCTCTATCTAAATTAGTTCTGGAAATATAAGAGATACCTATACTTATGCGAAAAAATAAAAAAATGTAATTTTGACAAATTTATTTTTATTTATATTTATTGAAATAAAACATATTAGGTCTACCAAAAAATTTTGTAATTGACCATTCCAGATGGTTGGGGAATTAATGTATCATTCTATAAAAGGGTCGCATGTGTCGTCGCCGGGGGGTATATTCGCTCCGTTTAAAATACGCATCTCGATGGGCATCATAACATCATATTGTATACACTATACACGGTGGCAGATCTACTACACCAGGAAAATTAGCGAAAATAAAAGAGAAACTCGAAAAAAGTCTTATCCGCGAGATTATTGTAAAATTGTCTAAAGGAACATAATACAAGACATCTCTCGTCTCGTGAATCACTTTCTTTAGCTAACTTTTTTATTTAAACAAATAAGTGAGGAAAACAGTTTTTTCACTTTGCAGGGAAAAGCATCAATAACTATCGGATTTGTTGTTAAAATTTTATAAAACCTATGACAATTTGAGGGTTTTGTCATACTATAAAAGTGTGCCAAAAGTGGGCGCTGTAGGTGCAATAGTTTTCGCACAATTCTATTTGTTTATAGCGGAGGCTCCAAAAGTTATGAACTTTAAGCCTCTGTACAAACGTTAATTTTCAATCAAACATGATTCTGAAAGCGTCATTGTAATCTTAAAGACGCAATTAAGCGACCTATTAAAAAATATCACGGTTTTTTTGACATTAACNTTGGAACAAGGAGGGGGACACTTTCAGCAGCTGCTTTAATTTATTGTTATAACAAGGAGGGGGACACTTTCCGCAGCTCCTTTAATTGTTTGTTATTGTTATCACGATTATTCTTTAAAATAAAGTTATATAGTCATTAATGTTATTGAAACTGACAGCTGCTATACAGCTCGTTGAGAAATGAGGTTAAGGTAGTCGCTATAAGCTATTCCCTACGTCCAATGTGTCAGAGTCAACTTCGACCACGTTTTTATTTGAACGCTCGTTATTATTATAATCTTCATCATCATTTGTATTTAATTTAAAAAATAAATAACTATTTACCTGGGACGTTTTCATAAGAGTGACCAGATTGAAGTATTTTAATTCTTCTTCTTCAATGGAGTATTTATTTGAATTACCAGATTTAAGCCTATTAGTCCTTTCTCTGAACATTTAATTCTATTTGAAATTCGTAACTTACGAAATATGTTTCTCTTTCAGGTAAGCATGTGAATACTTTCCTTAATGAAAACTGGAAGGAAGTTCTGAAAGAAATAGGTGGTGCTTTGAGCGAAACTGTTCGTTCGGTGTCCAGAACTATATTCACTGGATATACCAGCAAAGTCCCTTTCAACGAATTGTTTTTAGACTAAGTTTATGTACTTCAACTGACCTTATAATGTAACGAGAAAATAAAGGCAATTAAAACATGTTCACCTTCCAATTGATGCGCTTTATCAATAGGATGATACACAAAACTTTGAGGCCATATGTGCCGTTAAAAATAGAAACAATATAACCAAAAAATGTCAACAGTTTTATCTTTATTTGGTAGCTGCAGTAGGTGTCGTGTTCGTTACGTTGGTGTGACGTCTCCGAGAATTTTTGACAAGTACACTTTCAAGTGTATCAGTATGCATCATCCACACGATACGGCATTTGTTTGCGTTTGGCAAGGGACTGCGTCATTTTATGCAGGCTTGTATAAAGGCAAATCATTCAAGAAGTACCTGAAGTGTCCTAATCACCTGCGTATTGCATTAGGCTCAAATGTAATTGGCCACAGCGGTTAGATTGATGAGTGATTGTTACAACAATACATGTAGTATGTATCCCTGATTTTCACTTAACTAATATATTAGTTACAAATGTGTTTTTACTAAAGGGGAATAATGTTTTTAACACGCAGGTCCGCTTTGTGTTGAGTCGTTTGTATTGTACAAAGCAAAAGGAGAAATTAAAGAATATATACTATATCAGTTATCGACAGAAAAGGTCTGCCATCCAACCTGTAGGAATAAATAGTTTGTATAATATTCTTTAAAAAGTTGCCCATTTTTTGACGTTATCCGGTTCAGAAATGTATTGTTTCCACAACTCTGCAGCCTCAATGCTGGCAAATATATTCTATTGCCGACCTGGTAACAGTCAAGCGGATAGGGAGATGAAAGTCATCTTCAGTGGCCGAAGAATACTCAGTGGTGGAACGGAAAATTCTTGCAGTTCTCCATCTCTACGTTGGTTATATGAATAAAGTTCTGTAGCGTGAACAGAAACTTCTGGAAATGTTAATTGTACAATAATTAAGTTCATATTAACTCAAATTAAAATGAAAATTAAAAATAAGTCTTATAAGAGTAAATAACAACAAAAAAGATGAAATGTTTATTTGTCCTTGTCGTTAAAATTAATAGTTTATCTACCCTGCGGTTAGAATGCTACTTGATCTGTTGATTTGAGTTGCATAAATAACATTTCAGCAGTTTGTTATAGAAAGATAGCAATAATTTGAGTTTGCGAAAATAAATTAGCTGTGAGAACTTTATTACCTCGTTAATTTTTTAAATTTTTGTGCGTAAACTTTTTTTGCATGACGATTTACAATGCGTGCATAGCCCTGGATCAAATATTACCGTCGACTAAATTGCAGTGGGGTGTGGATAAACATTTTAAAATAAATTTTCGAAGTGTACTTTTTTAATTCATTATCGCACTGCGGTATTTGTATGGGTCCATTGTACTTCTCATACATATTTTTTAATATGTTGTGAATTACCCTGTATATAGGCATAAAATGTATTTTATAATTATCTGCTGTCCTTATTAATTTCTACACGTCAACCAGCATGTGCTGTAATTATTTTTATTAACGAGACAATTATAATAAAAACAAAATAAATACATTTGCGTAATGAAATTAATGTTCAAATCTGTTTATATATTTTAGTGAATTTTATAACATATAGGAAGAAGAGTCATGGTGAACAAAACGGAAATTTTTACTACCGTGGTAGTTTTATTAACATGTGTTTGTTTTAGTGATAATAAAAAACCTCGTGGCAAGTATTTAATTTAAATATTTTTTTAATTTAAACACCTACGTATTTTTCTTTTCTTGTGACCTACATCATTTTTGAAGAATCCAAATATTGGTAAAATACCATAAAAGGTCCTGTCTTTATAGTCAATTAATTGCATTTTTCAAGTAATTAAAATAATTATGTCTATAAAAACCATAAATATAGGTTTGATAAAAGACTAAGGATCAATACTTTAGTGTCAGAGGCAAGCGGTAAAATCTGCTGAGGCTTTAAAATATAAACCTTAGTAAAACAGTTTGTTATTATTAATGTTAAAGTTACAAAATGCTGGTATTGAGGTAGATATCAACATAATTAAAATTAATCCTAAAAATTTTATGGTATCACAGGACATAATATGATTGTTTTGTTCTCCAGTAAGAAACGTCATGTATAACTTTTCTTTTCACTTTGCAACAACATACACTACACCAACAAACAACTAGAATATATCCTTGAATTTTTCTAGAATTGATTCCACTTCCAAAGCCTTTTATTACTTGCCCAAGAAAACAGAATCATTTATTATTGATGTTATGTAAGACTTTTTTTATTTTAATTAAAACTAAAACACTGGATAATAACAACCTATCGCTCGTAGAAGTAATTATATTAATTACAACGCAAGTAGGCTATCTTAAAAACATATAGTACCTAATAATTAGAACTCAAGGAATAAATTCAAAGAAATATCGACTGCGGTAATAATAACAACATCGTTAATTTATTTATTGGTTGATCCAAAAGATAATATAGCCGTATTCAATTGTAATCTTCCAAATCGGAAAACATATACCTGTTAATAGTGAAGGAATAAAACATAAATTTAATGGCATGAACATTTTCTTCCATTTCAGCTTCATACATCAAACCATGTTCCAAAAGTGCGCCAGATTTCGACGAGTGCTGTGTAGCGCATGGAAAAGATGCATTGCCGCATATGTTGAAAGGCGATAAAGAATATAACATTCCAAATTTAACGCCTTTTGTGGTTCCTCTAGTTTCTCTGAGCAGTGCCAATCTTAAAATTGGAATCAGAGATATGCACCTCCATGGTTTGGAAACGAATGAACTGAAGCAAGTAAAGTGAGTATGTAGTTGACTAGACGGAACAATTTTATTAAAAGGTTATTCTGCATTTTAACTACATTCAACACGGACACCTTTTTTACAGTCAATAACAAGATACTTAAAAGACCACCTTGTTTTCTCAAAATCTCTATTAACAAAAAAGTATATGACAAAAGCTAACGACGGTTTAAGGTGTTGCTAGCGACATCTAAGGTTTATATATAAAATAAGCTTATACTCATATTCGGCAACATAAACAAGAATCGTAAAAAAATTCTTTGAAAACCTATAACTCTTTAAGAAAGCCAAATTGTATTGCCCTTGAAGTATGGCAGTCAAGTTTCCAGACATTATTATTATCTGTATCACTAAGTGCAACAGTAGTGAAATGACAGACCGACACAAATAGGTTTTCGTCTGAGATGGCTCCAGAAGTGTCCTGGATAGTTTCAGGCAGCAGCCGCACCTATCTTATCCCTTCTAAGTGAATGCATTCTTTCTTAGTCTTGTGCAATTCTGCCTGATCAAGAAACGCAAACTAATTTGAATCCATCTTGTAAGGTCTGACAGAATTTAATATGCCCCAGAATATTTTGACTCTAATATATGTTGAACCAATACGAATTTTCAGATTCGATTTCGACAACAAAAAGGTAACAGTTAAAATATTTTTCAATGTTATTAATATTATTGGAGACTTTGAAATGGATGGAAAGATTTTAATGATCCCGTTACAGGGATCTGGAAAATCCAACATAACGGCAGGTAATATTTAAATATTTTATTCAGCAATTTATCACTTTCATGTTTCATATGAAATAATAATTTTTTTATTTAAGTTTAAGCAATGTTTTGGTAATTTTAGTTGGAGTAGACGTTGTCTATTCATTAGACTACAAACTTGAGACGAAGGAAGGTGATGAGTATTTTTCAATAGTTTCGGCTACGTCTGATTTCACTAGTGAGAAGCTTTATATCGACATAAACGATCTTCTTGGAGGTAACAAGGAATTAGGTACATATGATTTGCACTCCTTATTTCTTTATCAATTTTGCTGATTTGAGCAGAACAACTATTGCAAAATCCCAATTACATGAATACAACTTTGTTATTTCTAGGTGATACAATCAATAAGGCTCTCAATGAAAATTGGAGGGCATTAATGGAGTCTGTTAAACCAGTCATTGCAGAAACCATAGTCAAAATCGGCAATAGCATTATAGATGGATTCAGCTCTACAGTTCCATTCGCAGATATATTCTTGGATTAAGACAGTTTTGGGATTCATCAGTAATAAAACTTGAATAATTCTTTTCCTTCACATACAAATTTACGCATTGCAAGAATATACTGTAGTGGGGTTCATCGTTTAAATTTTTTTATAATAAACATAAGTTGTCTGGTTAAGTGAAATTTTGTTTATAAAATATTAAATCGATCATTAAACCTACCAATTTTTTCTGACCTTCACTAAACATCGCTTAAGCTAAAATTGTATCTAACGGTTGCAGAACAGAAAATTTTTCAGAATGTAGCATGGGAGTCACATTTATTACTTTCAATTTTGAATAAATTAAAAAATTGAATAATACAAAGGATTCAGTTAATCATTCTTTTTTATTTCAACACTCTTTCGGATACTTATTTTTTTCAGGAGATACCAGTAACGTGCACTCGTAACTACAAAATATTTAAATAAATGTATCACGAAATATAGACAGATATTGAAATATTTTCAAAATTTATTTTTCTAGATGACAATTATTGCCACTAGATGCCTAGAAATGTTTTCTTTGAAAAAGGTACAATTAGTAGTAGTAAAACTCCAGAAATTAAGTGTGTAAAAAAAATTACAACATAGAAATTGCCTCTAATAATTAATAATTATGAATTAATAACTTTTTTCAAACAATTACTTACATTTTAACTGTGAGAAGGGGAGATTATGTTTTAATGGTATATATACAGAATAAAACTTACAGTTTTTACAGAGTCTCAAGATTTGTAAAAAAGATCATGTCTCAAACAATATTGTTTCTAAGTGTACCCTTGTTGCTACTGATTTGTATTTGTAACATCACACCAGAGAAGCATTTACATTTACGTAAGTATCATAACATAAAAAATTAGTCTTATTACTTTGTTATAAAAACCTTAAAAGTGTTTTTAGTGAAACATTAATGATGTATGAAGTTTTTAACTTCCTACGTTGTGCCATGTTCAAAAAGTGCAGAGGACTTCGACGAGTGCTCTCGACAACACGGGCAAGAAGCATTGTCATTTATAACAAAAGGAGATAAAAACTATGGTATCCCCCTTTTAAGTCCTTTGGTACTGCCATCCTTAAAATTGGATATAGCTGGACTGAAACTAACATTCAACGATCTGCACATATATGGCCTGGACACACTGGAACTGAAAAAACTGAAGTAAGTAGACCAGAAATTTTCATAAACAAAAATTTCACTTTTTAATGTATTTTGTACATTTGTACATTTATAAATAAAAAAAGTTCTGGTTAATTTAATAATAAACTTTGTTTTCTCTTATGACTTTTACTCATTGCATTTCTAAACATATTTCAGATTTGATTTAAATATGAATGAATTAACTGTTGACTCTTACACTGATAAAGTTGACTTGATTGGAAAATATGATATGGATGGACAGCTTCTAGTTTTGCAAATTACAGGCAAGGGAAATATGAACGTTACTATAAGTAAGTAATTATAATTCCTGTATTGTATGTAGCAAATAAAATTTAAATTTGAATATTTTTGTTATACTTTGGTCGTTTAGTAAATATTGAAATAAAATTTTAGCTGGACTCGATATACATTATCGGGTAAACTACAAACTGGAAGAAAAGGATGGAGATGTATATATTGTAATTCCAAATAAAGCCGATGTTGACTATACAATGACCAGAGTGTATTTCGAGTTTGATGATCTATTTGGAGGAAATAAGCAACTAAGTAAGTAAAAAAATCCTTGAATAGGTGTTACAAATTTTGACAGCAAAAACCGTCGAAATAGAAATAATTAAGTATGACAGTCAGTCCGACAACCATTTTATCGAGTTCTATATATATATATATATATAAAAACTTATAACACCTACTCTGAGTTAAAGAACATGAAACATTTGAGGAAAAAATAATTATTTTGACATGAACTATTTGTATATTATGTACTTTGCAGGCGACGCCACACTGAAAGCTCTAAACGACGATTGGGATCAATTTATGGAAGTCCTGAAACCAGTCATTATCGAAACTATTGTTAGCATCGTAGAAAGTATTGCTGGAGGAGTTACCAGTAATGTTCCACTAAAATATCTGTTCCTGGATTGAATGTACCTTCAATCTACCGTATTTTTGACAATGAACTTGCGTCAGCAATATGGATAAATTGTTTACTTACAATATTTACAATTATTATTAAAAATAAATCTTGTATTCTTCAGATAATTCTTATGTTGCTTGTAGGAGCCTATTGGTATACCTAAGATCTCCTGTAAGTTCTATTTGGTACAGAATATTTTTGGTAGCTTTACAAAATTAGCAAACATATTACAAGGAAGGTTTTGTGGTATTCAGAAATGTGTATGAAACAATTATATACAAACTTCAATATATGTATGTATATTTTAATTAGCCTTTATTTTTTTAAATTTTATCTAATTTAAAAAATATATATAAATATACATATGTTTACTCTTTAACACAGACTTTTTGGGTAGCCCTGGCAAGCTTCCTCTTACAATTTATAAGCATCAGAAATGTAAATGTCGGTAGTGTTGGTACCTATATTGTGTTAAAAGAATAAAAATAGATTTCTATCATATATTAATTCCAGTTATTTTTACAACGTCTTCCATCGTCAACTTTCGATACAAGATCGGCAAACGTATCCTGACTACCTGCAAAATCATCCTCTGGCCCGTAACTAGCGATCCTCTCGTTTTTAGTAAATGTGTCAATGTGTCAAATATTATAGACGCCTTCAAACAGTTTTTGGATTTGATGGGAAATGCGGCGCTCTTGTAATGATGATCGTAGTATTTTATTACCAGTCCGACCCTGTCGGCTTCAGTGACGTCCCTTAGCACGTAAGCGAGTAATTCATCCAAAGCCTCCTAAAAAATAGACAAAATGACCCATGAAATCATAGCCTACTAGTCGTAAAACTTCATACTGTACTTTTTGTCGGAGTCCGTTAATAATTACGCTCGAATTTCTCAAAAACCGTTATTTTTTTCGAAAAATTTGTAAGAGTAAAGTAATTTTTTAAATTAAATTTTCTGTAATACTGGTAAAACTATTTAAGGGCGCCTTACCCCAGTCCGGCCCTTATTGGGCTTCCAATATATTCATATTTTTACTAATTAAAGATAACAATAAACGGAAATCATCCCAAAAAAATGCTACTTAACAAATCGGCATATTTTAAGATCCTCTGCACGTTCTTACTCTGTGTCGGTAGAGTTATGAAACACCCTGTATTAATTTTATACAGGGTGTTTGTAAATAAGTGCGAAATATTTTAGGCCGAAGTTATTTTGTGAAAAAAGTTCATATAAACGTAGGTCGAAATATGCTTCGTTTCCGAGATACAGAGTGTTTAAATTTAAATTTTTTATTCATTTTTATTAATTATTTCACAGTTTTAAAGATATTGACTCGAAATTTGAAAAACACTTTAGAGGAACAAATGTGTATTTTTTGGGATGATCCGAATATTTCTATTGGCACTAGTGGTGTCTGGGTGAGAATACTACAACCCTTTTTAATAAAAAAAATGGTACGCCACTGACTTTTTCCCGTTTTGATATTGTTTTAGAAATCCGCCANATAGATCATTAAAGGCTTTATATATACAGGGTGTCCCAAAAGTAAACCGCCATAATTTAATTCCAGATTCTACGTCGAAAATATTATAGTTTGCTATATAAACCATACTTCAAAAATGCTTCTCTATGAAAATACAGAGTGTTAAAGTTTTATTTAAAAAATTTAAATTTATCAAAATAAACGTAACTACTTTTCATAAATTGAAAATTTTTTCAGTGTGTATATTATTTGACTTGAACAAAAATGTAAAGTTAACATATTGTTGATCATTAAAAAAAAATTATGAAACATAATATTCTGTTTTTTATTAGTTTCTGACAATTACAATATGGCATAATTTTAATTTGGTATACATTTCTTGAGATAAAATGTATTGAAAAATACTTTTACCTATGTCTATATTTATCATAGAAGCATGATCATAAAAAAAAATTACCCATTTAATTCAGATTGAAGTAGATTTCAATGAACAGTTCCCTGACAAAATTTATATCATTTATTCAGCATGGCCAAAAATTGCTGAAGCTATACTATTGGAACCCAAACAAAGAAACATTTCAGTTGTTGAGTATTCAGATGTTGGTAAGATATAAAAAATGTTTTACTTGTGTTTTAACGTGCTAATATATTCTTATATACTTTCAGATCCATTAGTTCTAGCTGCAGTGACACTTTTCTATCTGTTTAACGTTATTACATCGAAAGGCTGGAGACCAACCCGAAGTGAGGTATCTGAAAGCTTTCTCATAAACGTTCAGGTACATTTTTTTCTGGTTACTATTAACTCATTTAATACCGTTTTTGATAGACCTGAAAAATAAGCACATCTGTAAATAATACTTTTATGTGAGTTTTATAACTTTTGTTTTTCTTAAAATACGGATTTATATTCGTACCAAGTTAAAAATGCACAAGTAGAAAAATGTATTCTACTTGATGATTTATTTTCCCATAAAATATTGGCAATTGTTAATGTGAGTGAAGTTTCATATATCACAGTTTATTAATTTTGTTAAGTATAAATATGTACAAGATGAGCCATATTTTAATTATAAAACTTCTGAACACATGGAAGATACAGAAAACGTCGAATTTTCGATATAAATCTGTTTACATACTATAAATAATTTCTTTTATTAACATTTGAAGTTTACTAATTAAATTATGACCCATTCTAGATTTATGATCTCTGTTTATTTTATTGGCTTGTGTCATTTTTCTCTGTCTTACTATACATAATTTAGTTATAAACATATTGTGACTGATTTTTGATCTTATTGATATATTTCCATAACTTATAATAATGAATGTATCCTACTGTTATTATAAATATTATATTATATTTTAAAATAAACGTATTTCTTTATAGATTAGTTTTATTTACCTATATCTATCGCATATATCTGTCTATTACACCATGATTTTGTAATTACTGTTTGGCATTTTACAGTGTACTGTATTTTGTAATAACTGATATAAAACTTTATAATACTGGGTAAGTATTACAAAATAGATTTTTTTATTGTAGTAGGAATCATGATTTATTACCCTAACTTAAAAAGTAAATTGCAGTAATTATACAGAAAATTAATAATCACTAGCTTAAATATTAATGATAATATTACTGGCATATAAATATAATAATACAGTTGCATACTAGTTATAAACTAAGTAAATTGCAGTAACTATACAGAAAACTAATAATCGATAGCTTAAATATTAATGATAATATTACTGTCATATAAATATAATAATACAGTTGCATACTAGTTATAAACTAGTATTAGCAAACCCTGGAATATAACCATAAGAAAGTGTCTCATTGTCACATATAGTATACAAAAATTTAATTGAGGTAATAATAATTTTTATAACCATTATATGAATTTTTTCTCAGTGTGGCATTACATATACCTAAATTAACTCAGAAAAAAGTTATAAGTCGAAAATCGTGAAAAAAGGGCAAATATTAGCCAAAAATCCAAAAAGTAGCCAACTTTGATCCAATGTATCTCGGTTTCTATTAGTCGTAGGTACTTCTATAAAGGCTTATTTTAAATGAAAAAACATTAGCTTTTTTTTCTGTGAAGCAATGCCTATACCTAACCCCTCTTAGAAAAATGTTGTGGGCCAAAAACCAAAAAGAAAAAAAAACGCATTTTTTCGTTTTTTTTACTCGTTTTTTGGCCATATTTTTGTTAAAAATATTTTTTTTGACTTCAAAAGATCTCATTTCGATTGGAAATTCAATTTGCTACAACTTTTCTGGTGACAACTATAGTGAAAAAATGCATAGTTTTCGAGTAAAACTCAAAAAACTGAAAATACCACCTTTTTACTTCGTTCTCAAAAACGCACCCCTTTAAAAGGTAGCACTCCGCGGTTTTATCATTTTTTAGGGTCAATTGAACATATCAAACAATAAAATTTCTGTTACGTTGTAGTTCCTTTGTACCCTCTTTTTTTTG